GGTGGAATTTCGTATGGGGAAAGGGGACTAGATTTAAAGACACTTTTGGGGGACCTATCCTGATAGTAGAATTAAGTAAGTATTTTGAATAGAGATTCAATACATTCCTATTCAGTTTGTACTACAGTTCCCAGAGTCCCAATCATTCTTTTAATCTGGCGCCCTCCATTTCTTATGCCGGCCGGGGGGGGGCCCCCCCAAATTAATCCGGTGCTAGGATTATGACTTAACACCCCCATAAAAAGCCATAGTATAGCCTCCAGTTCTCCCTAAGATTACAGGGGTCCTGCTTACTTAGGAACGCGTATGGAATATGTTGGAAGAGTACGACGGCTTGGGTAAGTAACCCCAGCCTGAATGGTTTCAGTGTTGTAGGGTTTAGAGCTTAGGGTTTATGCGCCTCTGGGTTTTTGGGATCCTTTTAAAGAACCCTGGCAAACGACATTGGTCCATATAAGGTCTATATCGAGGTCATATTGAGGGTACGACCTTTCGGGGGGGCTTTAAACTGTACGTCAGGGCTCTAGCACTATCATGTGGCAGGAACAGGGTTCTATTTTTTGATTTGGGGGTTACCAAACTCCTCTTTTAATCTACCATCCACCCTTACAAGTACGCAAGCCTTTGGAATCTGTCGAAGCATCTCCTGCCTCTCTGGGGTAAAGCTTCTTGAATTGTTGGTGTGTGTACATCCTTCCGTTCGGGCTCATGAGTTCGACTGTCTGTTGTCTGTTTTCTTCAAGCACGGAGGCTGCTTGCACTAGCAGCTACAAAGTTGACCTTGCTCAGCAACCGTTGGTGTGCGTCTGCACGGGGTTTTGTGTTTTCTCTTCCTATATGTGCACAACCAAGAAGAAAGTAATAAACCTGACAGCCTTCAAGACTACTCCCCGCCTTACCCTAAAGGTCCAAGTACGCAAGATCCACATACACTTCCCCAAAACCTGCATCAGAATTACAAATTACAGTACAGGTCTTGGGGCAGCATATGAATGTTGACCACTTGGACCGAATAATTGCCATCAGCCAAGTCTTTAACCCTAAACCCTAAACCCTGTAGTACTTGGACCCTCCCAGGAGCTTCAACGTACAATCTCGCTGCAGCAGGCGGTGCCCAGCTTCCGCGCTAATATCTGTCCCACCCTAAACCCTAAACCCGGTTTAGGGTTTAGGGTTCCCGGGGAAGGTGACCCTAGAGATGACAAGTCCCCAACACACGGGACAAAATGAGTAGTATTGTATTTGGGGATACCTATGGTACCCAATATAGAGTAAGATTATATCCTCCTTTTTGGTATAGTATTTGATATGAGGAATATAACCTTACTAGGTTCAACCACCAAAAAAAACACTACTCAAACGGGCAATGAAGGCCTTCTCAGGGGTTTTCAAGGTTTGCCAGAAGCTTCGGCTGTCATGGTGGGTCCCTTTTTTCTGTGCTGTCCTTAGGAATTAGTTTTTAGTTTTCATTATATAACAGCCCTAAGGAAATATTAGCAATACTATTTCTATTATAGGTCTAAGAAAGCTGCAGTTTTTTGGTGGGAACATCCACAGCTGTGATGACCCTCGTGCCGGAATTGGTCTCGGAGGCGCGACCTCTGGACCGTGTGTTGTGAGGATCTGAGTCGAACATGAACCCTAAGGGTCCAAGTACCCAATAATCATATACTTACCCAAAACCTGTACTACAATTACTAGTACCCCAATCCCAAGTACCTAATTATTGGTTACATGGACCCTTCTGGGGAAGCCCTTTATTACCCCGCGTGATTCCGGCAGGCTCCCCAAATAGTCGATGCACGGCTGCAAAATCAAAACGGTTGTGCCAAGCACAGCGCACTGGACATCTTCAACACATGTAGCCACATGTATACATAGCGCAAGAGCTACAGTACTGTTGCCCGAAAGCTGAAACCTTTAAATGAACCCGACCACTTGGGTGCTTAAACCAAAAGCCACGGCAGACAGGTGGAGAGAGCGAAGAAGCAGCGTTTGGCAGAAGAAGCCCTTGATGATGCTCAGTGACGTGGAGGTGGCTCACATGGTCACTACTTCGAGGCTGCGTGTGGTCACCGGGGCCATAGGCGATTTAGCAAAATCGGGTTCGCTTCTTGCAGGTGTCCTCATATACTCTTAGCTGGAATTGTTGATTATTTGCAGGATGCAACGCCAACCAGGTCCAGGGGGTTGCCATATATGTATATGTTTCCTCATAGAGACCGCTTTGACTATGTTTTCTGTTCCGGCACTGCAACATATGTGTATGGACAGATGTCTTTGTCGCCCAATTTCTTCCAAATTGCCTGGAATATTGCTTCACGGTATGTGTAGCGGGGCTTACATAGAGGCAAGAGATGAAGTTGCCAAGGTCCTGTACAATTAAGTGGTTAGTCTGCCTGTGCCAGGGATTTCCGAAATTGTGACGGACTGTTCTCAGGGGAGTAGCGGGAATAATGCTGTGAGCACATTGAGTGTCGGAGGACTGCCGTCACAAAAAGATCCAACAATCAGACTTTTACCCAAAGCATCCATTCGCCGCAACAGAGCACCTACATTTCAGTTCAAGAGCCCCTTCCCAAGCCCCAAATGTACGTAAAATAATGGCCTTTTTGGCTACTTATATGGGTTTGGGTTATTATTTTACCTACTTTTGGGGTCCAGGTTGTTGTGGATTAATTACATAAATCCCCCCCACCCTTGCTAATATTCAAGATTCCCAATATATTATAACGTACCAGAATGGGGAGTATTTGACATTAGGGGGTGGGGGGTTTTATCTTAGGGGGAGGAGATAACGAGGTCCGGGCAAGAAGCTCGCACTTCTAGCTGCAGCTAATTCGACAGCCGCTGGCTGCCTCGGGGTGTTGCATGGCAGCTTCTCAAATACGGGCTCCCAACATGAGCTTTACTCTAAACTCCTTTTAAGGGGGGGGGGGGGTGCATATAAGGGAGTATATAGGGGAGTAGTATAAGGCTCAGTGAGGGGATACGTGGAGTTTTTTACCCTAAGCCCTAAACCTAAACCCCTAAGGTTTCAAAGGGGGAGAATGTCGGGTTTTTGGTTTTTGGATTGGCTGTGATACTTCAGGCCCCTAC